ACATTGCGTACTCAGCCCAACTTCCCCTTTTCTGAGAAATTCTTTCTCCATCAGTTTAGGAATCCAGTTGGCTCAGCCCTGCCACTCAGTGGGTGGTTTAATGTACTGTCAAGATCCTTGTCCAAGAATTTTCTCAAACACACAAGCTTTTCTGAAGACTGGTAAAGATGATTCTTAATTATAAGAAGATACTGATGAAGGAAATATAGTACTCATAACTGAGAGAAAGAAACTATATATTAAAACAGCTTTCTATTTTTTAAAATATCCAGAATAACAATCTACAGTACTTTCTTTGTTTACTCTCTTTTTCTCAGTTATAAAGCAATTGCACAAATATTTGATTCTCACTAAGGGACCAAGATAGTTTGCAGAAAGAAATGCAAATGCTTAAGTGACTCACGCAGCTTGAACAAAATCCTATCTGACTTATGGTTCAAAGCTCTTTCCACTAGTGCATTTCTGATTCTTGAGGGGGTGGGGAGATCCTCTCTTTTGTAAAGCTTTCTGTGATTTCTTCAAGCACATATAATTCCCACCTTCTTTGTATTCTGACAGCATGTTGTACACACTTCTGTTTATCATATTGTCTTGTGTTTACCTGTTTCTTCACATTAAACTGAACTCTTCAAAGATAGGATCTTTGTCTTATGACCTGGCATAATTTAGGGGCTTCAAAAATTCTAAAGAAATGTCAAAATTAATCAATAAAATTATTTTTACTTTGACCAGCTAATGTGTTAGTTATATAGCCTATCCCCTTGCTCATCCTGATGGTGGTTTTCTCTCCAACCCTGTTGGTATTCACCCCAGGCTGTAGGCTTGGTTGTGATAGATAGAGGGCTGTACATTGCCCCATAAAGAGAAAATAAAACCATGACAGAAACTTTCTGTTTCAGAGGCTGAAGTTTTAGCAAAGAGCCTTTCAGTTTTGGGCTGGAGTGAGATGAGGTGGGAGGGCAGGATGGAGAGACTTATTAACCTAATTAAAAATATATATATATATATAGATAGATAGATAGATATGACTTAAATATCTAACAGTAGGAATAGAAGTTCTGTATCAAAGACACACCACATGAAACCCTTGCTATTAAAGACATTTGTTCTGGGGCTGGAGTTGTGGCTCAGTGGCAGAGCGCTTGCCTCACACATTGAGGCACTGGGTTTGATCCTCAGCACCACATAAAAATAAATAAACAAAACAAAGATATTATGTCCATGTATAGCTAGAAAAATATATATAAAAAATGTTGGTTCTAGTCTAGTCTTATGCCTTAACAAGAGCAGTTTCAAAATAAAATTTACAAAGGGCTGGGGAGGTCCCTTTTCTTTCTGAGAAGACCCACCCTCTCCCTTGAGAGTGTCCCCTTTCCCTTTTCCTGTCCCTTCAGTAAATTCATGCTTGTTACTAAAGAAAGAAAGAAAGAAAGAAAGAAAGAAAGAAAGAAAGAAAGAAAGAAAGAAAGAAAGAAAGAAAGAAAGAAGAGAAGAGAAGAGAAGAGAAGAGAAGAGGGCTGGGGATTCAGGAATGTAGCTCAGTGGGAGAGCACTTGCCTACCCCTGAGTTCATTTCCCATTTTGGGTTGTGGTTGGGGTTGGGGAAATCATTCCATGAACCAATAGCAGAGAATGATTCCACAATAGCTTTGATGGTAGAAGCAGAATCTAGTTATCCTTCCTGATTTCTCTTTCGCTTTCTCAAAGCCCACCCTCCATTTATAACCAGTTTTATCTCAGGAAACATATGTAATGTATTCCTTCCTACTAATTGTTGTGCAGATGGTGAATAATTTGGTTTGGAATTAGGCAAAAAAAAAATGAGAAACGCCTTTTACTTTCTAATGTTCTGCCTTTTTTCCCTTCCTTAGTTCTGGTAGTTTTCTGGCACTGGTTTTTAGAATTGTAATTGCTGGGCCATGGATATTATCTCTGTTTCCTTAAGAAGAAACGAGGGAAGGAACTTGCCATGAAAGTATGAAGAGCTGGGTGGAGTGGGGAGGGAGGTGTTTGGTGATCTGAGAAATGGTGGAGGTAGAAGTAAGTTTAAGAAGTTAAGGGGAGGATCAGGGATGCCACTCAGTGGTAGAGCAGTGGTGGGAGGCCCTGAGTTTGATCCCCAGCACTTAAACAAACGAACAAACAAAAACATTAAAGAGAAAAGTTCAGACCAAGGTAGAAATGCCTCACCCCCTTTTTTATCAAAATAATTTAAAGTAATAAAAAATTACACAATGTTAAGTGTTTATACAAAACAATGCAGTTCTCAAACCCTTCTACTGAGATTCTCTTCTAGTTTGTTCAGCTTTTCCTCCCTTGTTCAGACATTTTATTTGAATTTGAAAATGATGGTTAGTGATTTGACTGAGGTGCCTTATAGAGAAGTAATCTCTCTTTCAGCTTTTTCATATGGTGTTTGCTTCATATTTCAAAGTAAAAAGTTTTCTTTCTTTTTTTCTTTTGAAACAGGGTCTTGCTAGGTGCCTTGGGGCCTTGCTAAATTGTCTAGGCTGACATGGAACTTGGGATTTTCGTGCCTCAACTCCTGAGTAGTTGGGATTGCGGACCTATGCCATCCTCTTTAAAAAAAAAAAATTAGGAATATTGGACATATCTACCATATTTTGATTATAGACTGAAATTTTAACATTTCTTTTTTTCTTTAATTCTTTTTTTTTTTTTGGTAATCCTAGGGGTCAAGTCCAGGGCCTCTTACATGCCAGGCAACTGTTCTACCACTGACCTTATCTCATCTTCCCAATGGAGTTATACCATAGTTTTTGTTAGGCCAGTAGTGGCTGTTCATATTATTTTCACTGTGTAAATAATATTCGGTGTGATGTCAAGTAGTGAATTTTGATTGTTTCATGTCTTGAACAGCCCTTTGTTTTTTATGAAGTTATAATAATTAATTTAGTTTACTATGCACCAATTCTATCAAATGCCTATTAATACTTTCTCTCAAATGGCCAACGTATCAAATAATCTTTTTTAAAATATTTTTTTTTTGTAGATGGACACAATATCATTATTTATTTTTATGTGGTGCTGGGGATCAAACCCAGTGCCTCACACATGCTAGGCAAGTGCTCAACCCCAGCCCTCAAATAATCTTTTTTTTTTTTTTTTGGCATTTATTTATTTTTATTTATTTTATTTTATTTTATTTATTTATTTTTATTGTTGGTAGTTCAAAACATTACACAGTTCTTAATATATCATATTTCACAGTTTGATTCAAGTGGGTTATGAACTCCCATTTTTACCCCGTATACAGATTGCTGTATCACATCAGTTACACTTCCATTGATTTACATATTGCCATTCTAGTGTCTGATGTATTCTGCTGTCTATCCTATTCTCTACTATCCCCCCTCAAATAATCTTAAGAAATTAATTATCCTTCTGGGGGCTTGTCCCAGTGCTCTACTAAATAACTTTTAGTAACCAGCGCCATCTGCTGACTATTGATGAAGTAGAAAAATCAGAATTAAGAGTCACATGGTTAGCCTTTGGGGGAAGTGGAGAAGGCCTTGTAATCCCATAGACCTGGAAGGCTGAGGTAGGAGGAGGATGGCAAGTTCAAAGCCAGACTCAGTAATTTAGCAAGGCCTGAAGCAACTTAGAGAGGCCCTGTCTCAAATAAAAAAAAAAGGAGTTGGGGATGTGGCTCAGTAGTGCTTAAGCACCTCTGGGTTCAATCCCTGGTACCAAAAACAAGTCACAGGGTTGGTGTTTTAACTGGTAAATATCATGGTTTCTGACCTTCTAAATGACATTCTGGAGAAAGGGATATGGACCTTATGTTAGGACTAGAGAGGAAAATATAAAAATAATTAAATATTCTTTCTTCCCCTTGCCTTATCATTGTACTCTGTTTTCCTAGAAAGAAAGTCTGTGTTCAGATATTTCTTTTCTAAGCCTTCTGTCTGATCTACCAAAGGAATAAGGAAAGGTGGGCTACCATTTTTTAAAAATTACATTTTTATTTTCATATACTCAATATATGATAGATTATACATATTTAAAGGGTATAATTTCATTGGTTATCCGTGAAATGACTGCACAATCAAGATAATAAACATTTCTGTCCCTCCCCAAAGTTCCTTTTGCCTTCCATTCATTTTCTCCCCCCCTCCTTCTTCTTCTTTATAACTTAGGTGCATTTTATTAGTTTTCTTCCAAAATCCTATGAAAGAGCAAAGTTAATCGGGGTGCGGTGATGCATGCCTATAATCCCAGCAGCTCAGGAGGCTGAGGCAGGAGGATCACAATTTCAAAGTCAGCCTCAGCAAAAGTGAGGTGCTAAATCATTTCAGGGAGACCCTGTCTCTCAATAAAAAATACAAAATAGGGCTGGGGATATGGCTCAGTGATTGAGTGCCCCATTCAATTCCCAGTACCAAAAAAAAAAAAAAAAAAAAAAAAAAAAAGAACAAAGTTTAAAACCAAGACACTGGCAAGCAGATGAGAATCCTTCCTCACCACAGAAGCTGTCCCCCATTCCCGTGTCCCCTAGTTGTGTCACTGCTGCAGTTCACAGGGGTGAAGCACTTGCTACTTTTGCCCATCATCAAACCCCACAGGGGAAAGAACTACTACCCATTTTCTTCATCCCAGCTCCACAAGCTGATCCAGGTGCAGAAAACATGGTAAGAACTATTGAGATCTAGCAGGAGTTCTGAACCCCAGAGGGCCAGAGTCAGGGCATAATCTGTGAAGAAAAGCACATCCTCCTCTGGCTTGGTGGCCCCTAAGAATAATGCTGGGCTTAGTACCTCACTCCCAGAAACCAGTTGAACACTGTTAGGTCAAAGAGGACCAGAGGCTGGGGTTCACTGGAAGCTGGTATAGATAGATGCAGTCAGATTTGAAAGGGCAACGGCCACTCACCTTCCCCCATCCCCCATGAAGAACCGGCAGCCGATCTGGCTGTTCTGAGCCTTGAAATTTCTATTGAGCTGCTCCTTCTTGATTCTCCCCACCCCAGAGCTTGTGGGGAACTATGTAGCTGGAATGGACTTGGCCCTGGGGACATGACACTGACTTGATGATATCTAGTGGGAAGTCCTGAAGGTTCTTCTGCCAGGTACGTAGGCAGCCCAGGCAGTGAGCATGGGTACAGCTGAGCAGGATGCCAAACACCATCTGAGCTTCTGGCTTGTCCCATACTTTATCCATGCAGATGGCATACACCACATCCCAACTGCCCTGCTTTCTCTGCCACTCCTCAAGGCTCAGGCTCTGAAGTGAGGCTGTCAGCTCCCAGACAAAGTCAGACTGTGGCTGAGATTACTGGAAGTGGCTGTGATGCTCATCAGCAGATGATAGAGACGGGCTTCCTGGAACTGCCACTAACCTCCTGTAGACCAGGCTCCATGTCCCAGCAGGTCCCAGCCCAGGCCCAACCTACAGCCATAACCATGGAAGGCAGGTAGGTGGACTTGGAGCCCCTGAGGGTGATGGGGTGGCTCTGAATGGCAGAGCCTTCCAGCTGGGGCTCTGGTGGGGTGATGTGTGGCTCTGAATGGCAGCGGTCCTATTCTGGGGGATTAGGTGGCCTTAGGTGCTGACAGCTGCTTTGGTCTCCATGGAAGCAGAAGCCCCGCTGGAAGTACCTGCAGACCTGGGGCACCTTTCTGTCATAAGCATGGCAACTTGACCCCCAGTGATCATCCCTGAATGGCAGCTGGGAACGGGGCTTGCTCTCCCTACCATGACTGTAGTCATCCTACCCTGCAGCATCCATCCCAGCTGCAGGTCCCTGTGAGCCTCCATTCGTTTTCAAACACCCATTGATCAGTTTGCATTTTATGTGATTTTATATATATAGAAACATACAGCATGTTCTCTGTTTTGGTTTGGCTTTGCTGTATGGTTTGGATGTGGCTTGTCCCCAAGAGTTCATATATTGAAGGCTTGGGTCCTTAGTGTGGCAGTGGTGAAACAGTGGGACTTTGTAGAGGTAGGGCCTTGTGGAGTGTCTTTAGGTTATTGGGGCTTTGCCACAAGAGGGATTAAAGTAGTTTTCCTGAGACCTGAGTTAGTTCTAACTAGAGCAAATCACTCTAAGAGAGACCAACCTGGAATCTCTCTCTGGCTTCCTATGTCTCTCCATGTGATCTTGCCCTCTCATATTGCACTCTCAGCATTGTGATGCCCTCTGCCACAAGTTCCTCACCAGAACCAAGCCAATGCAGGTGCCAGACCCTTGAACCTTCAAAATTGTGTTAAATAAACCTCTTTTCTTTATGAAGTTATCTAGTCTCTTGAATCTCACTAGAGTAACAGAAACAGAATACTACATGGTTTCTTTCACTGTGTTATTACTTTGAGATTCGTCCATGTTGTTGTGTGTGTCAGGAGTTTATTATATTTTATTGCCAAGTATTATTCTGTTGTACAGATTTATAACAATTGGTGTATTCTTCACTTGTTCATGAACATTAGGGGTGTTTCCAGGTTTTGGTTATTACATATAAAACTATTATAGACATTTGTGTACAAGTTTTTGTGCAGACACACATTATCATTATTTCCGAGTCAAAACCCAGGAGTGGAATGTCTAGATCGTATGATAAATTTCCACTTACCAAACTGTTTTGAAAATAACTGCCAAACTGTTTTATGAAGTGCTTGTGCCATTTTACATTCCCACCCTAGTGTGTGAAAGCTGTACATCTTGCCAACATGTGATATTGTCAGTTTTTTTATTGTAATTTTTAAGTTTACAATGTTTTTTCATTATAGTTTTAATTGGATTTGCATTTCCCTAGTGACTACTGATGTTGAACATCTTTTCATGTGCTTTTTTTGAGCTATCTGTTTTAAAGTACTTCCTAGGTAATAGGGCTAATGCTTAATTCTCAGTGAAGGATGAGTGTTACACAACAAGTGCCATGAAAAAAATCTCATTCACCAGTTGACTATGACATTTTAAAAAATTCACTTGAAATTCCCATACCTGAGGGATACAGTTACTCTTGAATTAAGAGCTCCAATACAAGAAGTTCTTTGAAATAAGTTTTGCATTAAAATGTGTATATTATCCCTAAATTAAGGGTCAGCCCAGAATAGAGTACTCCCTCTTCCCCATTTTCTTCCATTAGAACAGACTGTTTTCTAGATTTGCTAAAGGTTATTTCAGAAAACACAGAATCTGTGCTTTAAGGGAATGGCTGAGGTCCTTAGAGAAGGATAAGTAGGGGATGAGGAATTGCACAGGAAAATGGAAATAGCAAACTTGTTAGGACACTTGTCTGGTAAACAATGGGAAAGTGTTCAGGGAAGTATTGTCAGGCAGATGGGACTGAGAGAAGGTGGGGAGGATAGTGATGAATACATGCTTAGATCCCTGAGAGCAGGCCCCAGATGAAAGAGGACCTGAAGGGGCAACAGGAGATCAGTCACTCAGTAAGATACTAACTATACAAGTAACTTCTTCATAATTTTGTGCAGAGAAGCAGCATTCTTAGAATACCTGCATGATGGGCTGGGGATGTGGCTCAAGCGGTAGCACGTTCGCCTGGAATGCGTGCGCCCTGAGGTTCGATCCTCAGCACCACATACAAACAAAGATGTGTCTGCTGAGAACTAAAAAATAAATATTAAAAATTCTCTCTCTCTCTCGTCCCTCACTCTCTCTTAAAAAAAAAAAAAAATACCTGCACGATGACGGCTTCTCTTCTCAGTCTTTTTCTAGGAACTAGATTCCCCCCACATTGGGCTTTTTCTCCTTTCCCAATTCTTGTTTTTTTGGATTCATATGAAAAAAAAAAAAAAAAAAAGAATGGCTTTTGTCATGGCCTCCACTGCCTGAGCTCTCTTTTTCTGTCCACCTCCACAACCAACATTTTTAACTGTTCTGTTTCCTTATTTGGTGTAGTGGTTGATAGTTAAGTTTCTGAGCTGGGTTCAGTGGCTCCGATGTGTAATCTCAGCAATTTGGGAGGCTGAGGTAGGACAATCACAAGTTTAAGTCTAGCTTGGCGAGACTTTCTCAAAATTAAAAAAGGGGGGATTTGGGGGGCAACTGGGGATGTAGCTCAGTGGTAGAGCAGTCCTGTGTTCAATCCTAGTACTGCAAAAAAGGAAGAAAAAGTTAAGTTTCTGGATTCTAACTGCCTGGATTAGTTTCTGGCTCTGCTATTTATTAGCCATGTAGCTGAGGGAAAGTCAATCATCTGTATCTCTATTTCCTTATGTAAAAATTGAGAAAAGAGCCAGGTGTGGTGGTGCACGCCCATAATCTCAGCAGCTGAGGAGGTTGAGGCAGGAGGATTTCGAGTTCAAAGCCAGCCTCAGCAACTTAGCAAGGAAGGCCCTAAGCAAGTCAGTGAGAACCTGTATCTAAATTTAAAAATTTTTAAAAAGGGGTGGTGGCTGGGGATGTGGCTCAGGGGTTAAAATGCACCCTTGGGCTCAATACCCAGTACAAAAAAATAAAAATTGAGAAAATACTACTACTTTCCTTAGAGAGTTATGTGAATTTTGTTATTATTTTTGCAGTGCTTTGGTTGGAACCCAGCGACTCATACATATTACATATTAGATAATACCCTAACACTGAGCTTCATTCCCAGACCTAAATGAATTAATATTTTTAAAGTGTTTAGAACATTGCCTGGCAGAGTTTCAAGCTCTCAGTAAATTTTAGCTATTAGTCAGATTTTAACTGTTTGACCCCACTTTCTTTTATTTTTTTGGTACTGGGGATTGAACTCAGGGGCACTCAATCACTGAGCCACATCCCCAGCCCTATTTTGTATTTTATTTTAGAGACAGGATCTCACTGAGTTGCTCAGTGCCTCGCTAAATTGCTGAGGCTGGCTTTGAACTTAAGATTCTCCTGCCTCAGCCTCCATCGGCATGTACCATTGCACCCTCTTTGACCCCACTTTCAAGGTGCTTCATAACCTCTATCTAAACTTCTATCCCATTACTCCTGTCTACTTCACTTGAATTTTACTGTTTTCCTCACCAAACCATGAACCTATGCATAACTTCAAGTGGAAAGCCCTCAACAATTCAAATCCTACGCAGTCTTCAATGCTGTCTTTATAAGCCATCTCCTCTATTACCTTTTACTACTTCTTATTACTTTAGTTCTTATCAACTATCTTCCCATCTGAATTCACAGCACCACAGAATTTAATGAAGAATCACACACTCATGATTCCTTCGTGTGAATCAGTTGTTTCTCCAATAGCTTATAAACTCAAGGAAGATAGAAAAACCAGCTGATAACTTCTGAGCCCTCTTTCAGTGGAGTGAATACATTTTCTTTATTCCATTTCATGAAATCTGTAGAGAGGTTCAACAAAGCAACAGAGGGCAGTCTGGGAAATTTATAGCTTTAATAGTAGATTGATTGGAAGTGGGGTGAGATAGCTTCTGTCCTAGCTGTGCCATTCTCTAAATGTCAGCTTTCTTCACCTAAGGTCCAGACAATGCCCACTTCATCTATGAACAAAGAAAAAAGAACACACTTTATCCATATATATATTCATTAAATAGAATAGTTTCCTCAGATATTTTCTCTTGAATTTCTTTTGGATAATGGTCATGTTTTTCTCTTTCAGTTCTTGCCTCTTAGAAATCTCAACCTTTAAATTCTTTACTGGCATTTAGCACCCCCATAATGTCTAAGCTTATAGGAGTGATCTCATGAGTAGATGGATTGGAATAATCTGCTTACTCTAAGTGGGACTGGGAAAAATGGTGAGGAGCCCCTACTGAGATCTGAAATGCAACAACCTTGCCAAAAATCCTTATTCTGTGATCATGTCAGCCTCACTGGAGCTTCCTCTGACTGGATAAATGTCACTGTTCCATGTATCTCCTAGTCCCCACTGTTTCCTTTAGCAATTCTTTGTGTTCTTCCATGACAACATTTAGTCCCAAATAATTTCTAAACTAGTCATGGGATTGCTGGCCTACTTACTGAATGCAAAACCACAGAACAAAGAGTCCTGAAAGAAATGAGGCTAGGAAGGTTGCTAGGGAGAGAGGAGCCCCTGCATCTGAGGGGAAAAGATGCAGCTTCTCTAAGTCTGGCAGGAAGGCTCGAGCATCCTCCAGAGCTGCCTGAGCCGTCACAGTAAAGTTGGGGTCACCAGAGATGGAAACATCAAAGACACAAGATTGGAAGTAAGCATCTTCAACTGGAAGCCCTTCCTTGCACAGCTGTCTGGCAGTATCTACAGTTATTGCTCCCCGGCGGTTGCGCTCTAAGCGAGAGAGTCTCTGACTTGGAGGGCACCCTCCAACACAGAGCTGCAGGTCCTGTTCAGCTGAGAAGGCCCTGGCCACGTCTTCTGCTACCTTGATGGAGAAGGAGAGCTGCCCAGCTGTCTGCCGAATGATTATTGTTGTGCCAATATAGGCAGCTCGGATCTCCACATGGCTCCCAGGGTTGGCAGTTTGAATGGACAAACTTGAGCCCCCAGGCCGGGCACCTCCATTGATAGAACCATCTTCAAAGGCTGCAGGAAGATTGTCCACCTCAGCCTGATAGACCTTCTGATCAATGCATTCCTGCATGTTCTTAAATATGATGGTAAGCTGTGAGGGCAAGACGGAAAAAAGAGTTCATTTGGGGCTCAATGCATCCTCCCCACAATCAGACCTTACAGACAGTCAGGGATCTGACCCGAGCAGAGATGCAAGGTAGCCCCAATCCTAATCCCTTCTGTTATGTTCCACCATTGCTTCATCCCTATTCAGTCTTTCTGTCACAACCTCAACAACTACCAAAGAGAAGAAAAGTATCCCTTCTGAAATTCCTCAGCTCTGCTACCCCCAGTTTTCTCTTCAGTGTTTCCTGCATTTAATTTACGGAAAATTAATTTACAGGAGCAAATTTTGGTAGGAGGAAGTGATTCAGGATGGGAGAGTGGTGGGCGAGGAAAATAGGAGCAATTCTGTGAAATAGTAGGGATGGGGAGGAAGTGTACCCTGGGGTGACCGTGAGAGGATCTCAAGAAATGGAAGCAGGGCGGCGGGGAAGGGGGGTTGACTCCCTGACCTTCCGTGTGGTGGTAGCGTTGGCCCCCGATGCCACGGGGGAGCTGGTGGCCTGAACAAAAAGGAAGTCATTATCCAGCAAGGGCCAAGCTCCTTGGACACGGCACGTGTGAAAGTGGTGGTGGAAGCTGCGCACGTGGGGGTCTCCAAAGGAGGCGCAATGCAAGAAGCCCGGG